CGCAGTAACGGCTTCGTGGGGAGATGTGAGGTGAACACCTCCAGCGGTGTGCGATAGACTCCGGAATGCGACGGGTCTCTCAGGCCAAGACGTTTGAGAAAGGGACTGATTTAGAACCGACTGAACGCATTCTGTGACAGCGGGCCAGTCCTTCTGTGCTAAACGAAACTCATGAAGCACGTCCTTGCAGGCTCGCAGAACCTCTCGACAGACGCGTTCAACGGACTCATTGGCCCAGGGGGAATACGCTGTTGTGAAATGGTGGCCCATCTTGAGCTCCTCTGTCAGATCGCGCACGAGTCGGCACTTGAAATGCGGACCTTGGTCTGACACCAACCATTCCATGGAACCAAACACAGCGATCCAGGTAGCCAACGCCTCAGCCGCTGCATCGCTTGTGGCGGCCGCAGCCGGCCATAGCCACACGTAGGATGACAAGTCGTCCCTGATCACGAGGAGGTACTTGACGCTGCTGCTACTTGCCCCCATGAAAAGGAAGTCCATATGCATGACTTCGTTCGGTCTATCTCCATGAAGCCCGTGACCAAAAGACCGCGGCACTATCTCTCCTGTCTTTGTGAACATGCAATGCAGGCAACCGCGCAAAAATGCGGCGACGTCGTGACTCATACGTTCCCACACAAAATCTTCACGCAGAACGCTCTCCGTGGCATCCTGGCCCCGATGCCCCATGGAGCCACAATGTGATAGTACGAGCAGCTTCGTTTTGAGTTCTGTGTCCTCAGCCGGGATCCATGTGCGTCCGTCCTTCTTCAGCAATCCGTCTTTCCCCATCGTCAGCCTCTTCAGTTAGCAGGGAGCGCGCTGCTGCGACGCACGTAGGACCGCTTGATCCGGCCACGAAATATCACTCGGCGACGGCACGATCTGCTCGGCAGTCACGAAAAGGCTACAGACTCTGCGTGTCGCCAGTCTCGCGACCCGATATCCCTTAGTCCAACGGGTCAGCATGTCTGCAAAAACGTTCTTCTTTCCCTCGATGTGCTCGATCGAGTAGTCAAATCGCGACAGAAAAAGCGCCCATCGCTGGACCTTGGATATCACGTGGCGCCCTAGAGCGGGCTCCAAAGCCAGAGGAGCAAATAAAAAAAGTAAATTGCGATGATCAGTGAACACATGCACAGGCTGGTCACTGAGGAAAAGGTACTCACCCTTGTCAAAAGTCTGGAATATAGCATAACCTTCCTGCTCGAAGGTACTCCAATTTAGCTCTGCACCCTAAAACCAGCCCCCAAGAAGGCCAGAGGCTCATGTTTCTGTTCCTCTACCGGAAGCCGTAGCTGCTTGGGATCAGTCTGTGTCACCACACCAGACCAAAATCGCTGCGATGCGTCCGTGTAGACACATATGACTTTACCAGTCTTCGGGTACATCAGCTGCACGGCGTTGCGAATGCTGTTCTGCAATTCACGAAACGCAGATTCATGAACGGCGCCCCAGGATAGTTTTCGCAACGACAGGCCCCGTATGGAGCGCTTCGTGCGTCTTCCAGTTACGAGGTAAGCCTCTTCCAAAATGTCCACCAGCGGAGCCACGCGGCGGGCAAAATCAGGGATGGACACCGCCATTCACCGGCAGCAGTGGACGAACTGACACAACTCATCAGCAGTTTCGGGCGTGCACATGTTCCGTAGGCCCTCGACCCGCGCTGGGTCCATACAGTAACCGTTCCCGCTCACTATACGCCCACACCACTTTATCTCACGAGCGAAAAACTTACACATGCGTGCCGAGAGAAAAAGGTTGCGTTCCTTGCATATCTCGAAGAAACGCCGCAGGCAGCGCAGTAGTTCAGCCTCACTCTGTGTATGAAGATTAAAGTCGTCCAACCAGGCCTTCATGTTAGGTCTCAATTCCTGAAAAAGGGGCTCGATGGTGGACTGGAAATACGATGTGGCATTAGTTAGCCCGGGGAGGGCGCGCGTTGATGAGTAAGTACCATTTGGGCAAACAATGCCGCACGCACTGTACGAGTCTGGGTGAACGGGGAGTTGCCAATAGCCAGAGCAGAAATCTAGCGTTGCGAAAAACTTGCTGTTCGCAAAGTCCTGCACCTCGGAGTCCAGGTGTGGCATGGGCCACGCCTGCTTGACTGTAGCTGCATTGACCGGTCTGAGGTCGATGGCGAGGCGGAGCTGGGCCTTTGAACCAGGCTTCAGGACCAGTAGCGGAGCGGCCTGCCACTCCGCATCGGGATTCGGGATGAGGAATCCCATTTCGACGAGCTTCTTGACATACTCGTTTAAGAAGGCACGCTGATGCGTAGGATAACGCCTAGCTTTCACCTTCACCGGCCTCTTGTTTGGTAACAGTTGTACCTTCATAGGCGGCACTCGCGCTGGGTCGGATTTCCCCAGCCTCAGTCGAAAACCGACCGGTTCTCCGTCACGATCTTTCGGAGGACAGCAGTCCTACTCTCGGAAATGCCTTGTTCCCGGGCGTTTTGGACAGCCTGTTCCAAGGCTGCATCTAGGTCTTCCTCCGGGTCGTCACCGAGATCTATGTAGACCCCAGTGCCATCAAGGTCATCCTCCTCAGCTCCGTCCTGACTGTGATATGTGCCATGATTCTGACTCATAATGGCAGAGATTCGGCCATCTGCCGGACGGCGACTGTCGGCGTCGACTGCCAGTGCTCGTGGGACATTTATGACGCCATCGTGCTTGTCGCACGCGGCCTGAAGCATGGCCTTGTTGTCACAAACAATTGCCTGGAGAACCTCTCGACCAATGATGACGCACTCAGCGGGCTGGTCGCTGACCTTCCAGGTGATGTTTCGGAGGACCAACTTGACCCCGTGCCTGATGCAGACGTGTACATCTGCTGTCATACTCCGGCGACATGTCAGCCCCCTGTCCTGATCCAGGAAAGAGTATGTATGCGGCGGCACCAAAGAGGCGACGTGCAAATTGGGGGCCGCCTCAGCGATCATGTCAAAAACAGCCGGAGGCATGACGTTCCCGTCCGACCCTTGGTCGGCCATAATCACACTCTCGACGGCACCGTCGATGAAATTAGCAATGAACAAAGACGAATGGGAGTCTATGGCATCTGGGCCGATGCGACGGACACTACCTTTGCGTTGACCATTCTGCCTGTCGGCCGACCCGGACCTCGTATCAAACCTCATCTTTCGCTGTTTACGCCCACGGTATTCATCCTTGTACCTGCGCCTCTGCTCGTCCGACGAGATGGGGCAATCATCTATAAAATGATACCTGTCACAAGCCGGGTTGAAGCACTTCGGAGCAAAACTCCTACATTTCTTGCTTTCAGTGCCCGACAGGCTGTCCTTGGGGTGTTTATCCTGGCCCGAGCTGACGTCACGCTTGGCGTCGCCACGTTGGCCACGACGGCTTTTCTTGCCTTTATTTGTACCCCGATGACGCTTATCGTGCTTTCCGCTCGATTCCTCGGAAGAGCGGTCCGAGTCGCTGCTCGAGGCCATTTGCTGCTCACGGGATACCTGCTACATCTCGAGGGTCTTTGCCTGCTCGGCCAACACGCGCATGAAATCGCCAAAGTCCTTCTTGCCAAAGTCTTCATCCTTGCGCCACTGTAGAATTGATCGAATGCGGCTGCGCAGACGAAACGGCTTGATGCGCTTGAGGATGTGTTTGATTGAAATATGAGGCTTCCTGGTTGGTAAATCAGCCAGTCCGGCCGCCTGTAAGACCTCTAGATAACGAAGATGCAGACTCCAGACCCGATCCTCCGCTTCTTTGAGAGACATGTCCATCTTCACATCCTTGACAAGATTGTCAATGCGGTCAAGCTCATACTCCTCGAGTTTATAGGAAGCCTTCTCTTTTACGCATTCTCTGATCTGTTCCTCTGAAATGGCTTCCAGGGATTCCGCCTTAATCCACTCGGCGGTCAAGAAAATTCGAAGATAAGAGTCGTCGATCGAAGCACAATAGGACGTCGGGGTTATGTGAACACCGGGCTCACGATTTTTCTCAGCAAGCTGTTTCTCGTAAAGCTCTCTCTTCTTCAAGAATGCTGTAAAATACTTGGTCGCCACTCCTTCCAGGCGTGGCGCCTCCAAGTTGGTAATGATGGTTTGCCGCACGGTTCCATCTGAAGTGGATGATGGTTTCCTCACGTTCGTCATCTTCACTTTTTCCTTCGTCACGCTAACACTTGATCGTTTCCGATATTGCGCAAGTAATTACTGTGACAGGTCACAAAAAAACGAAAGCGCTTAGGGAAGCTGCGAGGAGACGAAGGGAACTGATCTGGGATCACTGCCCGCGGGGTCGTCTCCTAAACGTGCTCGTCTCTCTACAAACTTAGGCAAAAACACAGAATGGCGATGTCGCTCTGCCGGGGTCCTCTTCCCTCCCGGAGAGCGCTGCCTTTAATCCCTTTTTCACCTTTCTCTCCTTACCCCTTCCAGAGGCCCACAGGCACTGGCTGCTAATTCCGACTCAGCCAATTCGGTCGGGGCTTCTGGAAAGGGGCGCGGAGCATCTCTCCCTTTCACGCACTACTGTCGTGCAGAGACGGTCCGTACCAACAGCGGAACGCACTACTCACTGTAGGCTGCCTGTATCGGCGGCTGGTACGCCATTGGGATAGCCGCAGTGCAACCGCGGTTGCACAAGGCCTCTAGTGCGCGGCGCTCGTGATGTAAAACGTCGCTCGGCGTTATACAGGTACCCCTAATATCCGGGTAACCACTGAAGCCTCCTCCGTTGGCTGCCACGGTGCCTTCGGTTCACTTTGCCATTTGTCAGAAACCTATTCGAAGGATTCTCATGGCCCTGTTGCATACCGCTGGAGTGGTGCGCGCGATTGCGCTACAGCTTTCATTTGCGAGGTGTAGCAAAAGTGCATTCGGCCGTGTCTGACCGCACAGGACAGCCTGTCATTAGAGAGAATATATATATAGTAGAATATCGCGACGACGAGTAAAGGCGAGGGGGTCATCGGACCACGTGTCCACACAAGCAAGGCATTTTTAGTCCCCCCCCAAAATGATCAAGAAATCAGAGTCCCCCTACCATTGTAACAACTCCGCGAAAAGTGCGAGTTCGAAATCCAAATTCCCCCTCCTATTTGGGTCGATTTTTTACGTCCCCCCCTACAATCGAAACAAAATGCACCTGTCTCCTACTGTATCGATACAATATCATGTGTCCCCCCCTGACACCGAAAGATTTTGACCTTGTCCCCCTCTCAATCTCAGAATGACCCAAGTTCTTACACTCCCTACAGAAGCCGAAGTTGAGATATATTTCAAAATAATAAAGGAATCAAGTTGAAAATTTGCTCTTTTACATGAAATGTACAATCAAAATTTGGGGGTTTTCTTACCGAAGTTTTTTCGCGTACTGTAGGAAGACTTTCTAAGAACAACCCCACCGCGCACATCTATTTGATCAATAGAATTTCCGCTCACAATTTTCAACCCCACCTGTGCTGCCACACCTGGTGGTGTGCAGGGCGAAAGAGAAAAAGGTTGGCTTTGATGGAAAAGGTGGTGCTTCGATGATGGAGACCATCTTCGAGGTTTATTGGCGGATCTACTTAAATGCTTGTTAGCAGAAGAAAGGAGGACTGATTACTGTACTGTGCGAAACCTTCCCAAAGGAGGATGCTGTGCCGAATTACGAGAACATGCGTGGAAGGATATTCGGCTGCTGAACCAATAAACCAAGTAAAGCGGGCGGCGGCCCGGCTACATTATGCCAAATTGGCTGAGCCTGCATGGAAGACAATTTGGCTTCTGAAACAATAACCAAGTCCCACGGGCATGGGCGCGGTTACACCACCGCGCAATTCTATCGCTTTCCGAAATCGAATAGAACAATTTTGGGATCTATCCGAGCGCCGATAGATTCTAAAAACGTTCTATCCGGTGAATAGGTTCCGCGATAGAATGCCACGTGCCAGGCGTGTCAGCCGAATTCTGGCCAATTGTGCATCCTTCTCGCCCGAGAACCTCCGCTGCTTCGTCGCTGCAGCATGCATTCCGGTGGCGCGTGACCTGTGCATGCTCGCGACGATGCTTTCATCATCGCCATCGCTGTCGTCCATATACTGTACTGAAGGACGCTTCCGAGGACTGTTCTCCGGTCCATTGGCGATGATAACTCGTGAGAGCGCGTAGTTGGACAATACCCGAGGGAGGGCGCGCGACGAAGAGGGAAAGAGGGCACAGGCTGCGAAAGAGAGACATGCAGCCGCGCGGGATTCACGGCGAGGGGTGGGCGTCTCGATGAACGATCGCCTCTTCGCAGACGATGTGTGACGTCTCGCCGTTGTCTGCGCGGGCATAGAGCGATAGATTTGCAACATATGCGTTGGGGTTGACGCGAATAGATTCCACACGAATAGATTGACGAATAGGCACAAAATTCAATTCGGGCAACCGGCGAATGGTCAGCGTACACGTTGTATTTCTATCCGGCAATATAATCGACGCGGTGGGGATGCTCTAACGCCTCATGGAGTCCAAGGCGGCATTTATTCTGATGGTGTTGCGCGGGTTGGGGTGAAGTGGTTGCTGGTGTCCCTGCGTGTCTCCTCGTAGGACGGAGGAGGACCGCAGCGACTGCGCGTCTCGTAGGACGGAGACGCGGCGAGGGATAGAGCGAGGTGCGCGTCGGTCTACTCGGCTACCCGTAGAACAGGGCAGAGTGTCGATGACTCGATATGTGGGGGTCTGTTTTACCTTTCTGATGATCTCTTGCCTCTCTCCCTCTTTGGAGAGGAGCGCGCTAGCTATGTCCTATCTTTGGTGCCGCGGCGGTGTCCCATCTCACCGACAGTGAGATGGGATCGCGGACAGTGCTGGCTGTACGGGTGTCAATCGTGTAAATGTCACACAAGTGTGCAAACTGGACACGTGTGACGTGGAGTGCAGTGTGAGCGTGGGCAAGGGAAAGTGAAGATGGCGTGTCGGGCAAGCCTGTTCAACATATTCAACAAGTTCCGTTTTTCTGGATAAAATTTTCATATTTCGATTTTGTTCAAGAGAGGTGGTACTGTTCCAGAATCGGTGGAAAGTAACTTGTATTTATACCACACGACTACGTACCCGCCTCCCCCCTCCTTCCGCTGGCGAAACGCATTTCACACCTTGCCTTCCGAGCGAAATTAACTGTTTTCACAGCAAGAACGACCGCAAAAGCCAGTTGCTCCCCGACACTTTTCGAAAATATACTCCTTCACATCACATCTCTTCCCGTGTCATCAACTCGCCATCCTGAACAATGGCGCTGGGCCATCTCGCAAACAACGTCTACGTCGTCCTGTTTGCTTACATCGCGGCCTTCCTGCCGTGGACCGCCTCGAACGCTTGCGACTTTATCTCGCCGGCATGGCGCAAGGCTGGCAACGTACGCGTCGAAGGATACATCAACCTGGCCGTTACCGTTGTCTCAGCTCTTTACATCTTATTTTACATTGCCATTCAAATTGAGAACGATACCAAGGAAATGTTCACAGCGATTGGCGCATTGCTATTTGCGCTGCAGCACTTCTTGCGGACAGCGTGGGGCTTGTGGCAGCTTCGTGTCTTTGTGGCATGGGCTTCTAAGAGCATTAGAGCTTTGCAGGCGTTGGGGATTGATTATGATTTAAAAGTTGAAAAACTTCTGGGTGCCGAAGAGAACGACGAGAGGCGTAGTGGAGGAGACGACAAGAATGAAGGCCAGGACGAAACGGACGTCCTGTCTGCGGATAAGATGGCAGATGAGCTGTTAGTCAGCGACAAACTCATCAAGAATCGCGTTTTTCATGGAAAAGCCCGTTGTTACCTGGAGTTCGGGGACATGGATATGACGACGGACTCATCGCATGGCAACGTTTTCATCCAGCACATAATGACACTGGGGCGTATACTGTCCATACCAATCCAATACGCGTATCATACAGTGTTGCAGCGGTTCTTTGGGCGAGGGAGAGTGCCGAAAGTGCGTCTGGTGCCTTACGAACCGGAGGAGGTTTGGCTGCGGTGGTCTGTAGCGTTTGCTGCTCAAGGGCTGGGAGGGTGGATGAAGGAGTTTCGAGTTGCGGCAAAGGCCGACGAAGATTTGTCGGGTTTGAACAATATGCAGCAGTACAAGAATCGACGGGACTACGTGGCGAGCCGAGTGCTGACCACGGCTGGATTACAGCTGTGGCTGGGACGTTGCGTACGGCTAGGTGAGGACTCAGCTGGGTTGAAGCCAACACTATTGCGAAGAGTGATCGAGTCAGGCTGCGGTTTGCCGTTTGATGCAAGACAGGTAAGTGCGATGAAGTCAGGTGGAAGGGGGTACAGGCCGTACGCTCTGAAACTATCGGGGATCATGCAGGAGATGCCGGTTTCGTTTGAAAAAGAAATCGAGGGGTTTGATATCGAGAGAGTGGAGTGGCTGGCGATCTTGCTGAACATAGGGCATGAAGTTATGTTAAAGGAGGCCCTGAACACGATGCGGGAGGAAATATAGTTCGAGTCGTTGCTGCACAATGATTTTGCAATGGAGAATCTGCGGGAGCAGCTGGGGATCGGGGAGACGTTCCTTGGGGAAGTTTTGTATGGGAGAAGCATTGCCAGTCAGAGTGCGTTCCCGTTGCCTGAATGGTGCTTTCATTTGGTGTCGGGTGAGAATCGAATGGTGACGAAGATCGGGGAGCTGATGGATTTCCGGCTGGCGCTGATGGCTGGGGGTCAGGTACGATTTATGGTTGAGAGAGATAGACGTTGGTAGGGACGCTGTATTGGACCAAAGACGACAGAGACTGCGGAATGTTTGATCGGTGACGAGGTATGCACGGATGATAGTGAATCGAAAAGTAATGGTGTATTTGCAACACATGTGCGGTTAGAAGAAGGAGGCTTGCATACCAGTTTTGTGTGTTTAGTTTCACTACGATCGAAGTGGCAAGGATGGAGGATGAGATTGGAGTGGAAGAGGAGCAACGGATGTCGAGGGAGGCGGGAGAAGTGGAGATCAAGCAAGGAGAGTGCTGTTGTGACTCTTATTCGAAGTCGAGGACAAGCACAAGACGAGACAGCCAGGATCAAGACGGTTGAGTCGACCATAACGGCGATGTGCGCTCCTCAACAGACAAAGCTTGTTCGACTCGAGTACACTAGCGAGCATGTGCATGAAGTGAGTGTACGGTTATGTCGTGGGGAAAATGATGCAGAGGGGGTTTTCGAGTGGGAGCGGTGGCGAGAAGCGGCGATGAGGTGCATGGAGGGCCTAAAGTGATGGCAAGGGAGTCACGCAATGAAAGCAGTGGAATTCCGTAGGTCGAGACTCGCAAAAGACTTGGGTTTGCGGATTCTGGAATCAGCGATAAGGGGGAGCAGGCATGAGTTTGTGACGTGGGCGGTATGAGAATCGTTCGAACGAAACATTGAACGCAGAAATAGGATAATCCTTGAGAAGCCAATACCTTATTTTAGCTTGATTAATAGGAGCACGGCCTAAAAATTGTTTCGTACCGAGTTCAATGACTTCGGTATCTGGGTATGGTTGGTAAAGCTTATCAAACTTGAAGTTGAGAGTGAGAAACTTTTGGTGCAGTTTGCCATGACACGGGAGCCTGTGTCCCTTGCTGTGAAAAACAAGAACATGACTAAAAGTGTTGACCGTATCGTGGGAAGGAGATGGCTCTGTCGGGTATGTAGAAGCAATTCGTGAGGGGATCCGTGACGGGTGGCTCAATGTGAGAGAAGCACTGCTTACGGGCGGCACGAGGGTTGTGGCAAGTGGAACGGCGATGTCGAACCAGACTGAAGACACCAAGGACTTGATTCGTAAGGCGGATAATCTGATTGCCGGACGACATGAAAATTTCGGGAGGGTCATTATTCTGCTCAAGGTAGCGGCACTGGAGAGGACATAGACGCTCTGTGCAGATGTGTGAGGCTTTCGAGGAATTTAGAGCCGACATCGAACTCGGGACAAGCGGTGCAAATGATCAAAGCGTTCTTTGATGCCAAATTGCTTACAAGCTTGACATTTACGTCAACAAACGGTGACGATGGGTTTGAGAAGCTGTTTGAATGTTTGCGAAGCTGGTGGTGGAGCAGAGTTGTGCTAGAGTGATCTTGGATTTGTTTGTAGAAGCGCTCAGAGACGCGATTGAGTTTGACGTGGCCGGAAGCTTTCGAAAATGTCATGCATGGATACGAAAAGTGATTGTGTGTTCCCGGAAATGGAATCAGTTGGATATGCTTGCCAAGTTTTCGGACTTGCGCGTTGGAAATGGCGGGAATGTGAAATCAGGGGAAGCAGAAGGCGATGGTGTTTGAAAGGAGGCCTTTTTCTCTGAAGGAGAGGTGACCAAGTGTGATGATATGACGTGTGATCTTGTTGGTAAGGCTTTACTGGAACGCATGATACGCGAATACGCGACGTTATTTTCAAGAGAAGGAGTTTAGACTGCTGGGTACTGCCGGACAGGGAGCTCCTCGGTTTACTAGTACGAGAGAGAGACAATATGCGGGAAGTCAGGATGTGAATTCAAGCGCAAACGCCATGATTCGCCTTGCAATTATTTTCACGCGAGGCGCACGAGGGGTGGGTCGTGACACTGGACAAGCGAAACTTCTATTCGAGACCGCAAGCTAAGAGCATGAAGTCTGTGGCGCGATGGTGAACTCGGTAATTTGCGTGCAGAAGGGACCGAAGCAGTAGAGCGTAACGCGGTGTGATCTATGAAGCTGTATGAGCGCGCTATCGAGAAGGATGACGACGTTGTTAAGCGCAGGCTCTGGTCTGTAATTTGTCGAAAGCCAACAGTTCAATGAAAAGGGTCTATGACCGCCGCCATCGCTCGATGGTTGGCTGATGATGATTTAGGGGGCGTACCATTGTAGATTTAATGATTAATCAGCGCGGCGGAGCGGCGCGCACCAGAGTCTTGTTCTGGTTGCCATAAAGTCGGGGTGACCGGGTCACTGTAGACCCGATCACCTGAAGAAACGACATACATTTTCCAGATATCCCTGGCTTGCCTTTTAGACGTCGATGCGATGGTGAGCCTCCGTAATTTGCTCGCAGAAGGCGCCGAAGGAGTTGAGGGTAACGTGGTGCGATCTATGGAGCTATATGAGCGGGCTATCGAGGAGGGTGACGACGTCGATGCAATGGTGAACCTCGGTAATTTGCTCGCAAGAGGTGCCGAAGGAGTAGATCGTGACGCAGTGCGATCTGTGGAGCTGTATAAGCACGCTATCGAGAAGGGTGAGGACGTCGATGCGATGATTCACCTCGATTTTTTGCTCGCAAAAGGTGCCGAAGGAGTAGAGCGTGACGCGGTGCGATCTATGGAGCTGCTTGAGCGCGCTATCGAGAAGGGTGAGGACGTCACTGCGATGTTTAACCTCGGTGTTTTGCTTGCAGAAGGTGGCGAAGGAATTGAGGGTAACGCGGTGCGAGCTATGGAGCTGATGAGCGCGCTATCGAGGAGGGTGAGGACGTAAATGCAATGTATAACCTCGGTAATTTGCTGAAACAAAGAGCCGAAGGAGTAGAGCGTGACGCGGTGCGAGCTATGGAGCTATACGAGCGCGCTATCGAGAAGGGTGAGGACCCCGATGCGATGGTGAACCTCGGTAATTCGCTGAAACAAGGCGCCGAAGGAGTACAGAGCGATGGAGTACGAGCTGTGGCACTGTATGATCGTGCAATGGCGAAAGGAAATTCAGGTAATGCGACTTGCAATCTTGCGATGATGTTGAGGGACGGAGCGGAAGGGGTGGAGCGCAATGCGGTGCGTGCGGTGGAGCTGTTTGAGATGGACATGGGAACGGAAGCAGAGCAAGTCAATGGTGTGTCTTGGAGACATGATGCGGGACGGGGCGGACGGGGTGGCCTGCGATACGGATGGAGCGATACTGTTGTACGAGATGGCGGTCGAGGAAGACAAGAACGCGGAGGCGGTAGCCACGCTTGCGGCGTTGCGGCGAGACAGATCAGATGGCAGTACGCGGGACGAGGGGTGAGTGAGAACAGAGGAAGGCGGGATGGAAGGCGGGATGGAAGGCGGGATGGAAGGCGTGGGCAGTGGGGGAGGAAAGTGCCGCATGGATAGGCGGCGTAATGACATATTTTTAGTGTAAATGTTTGCGGTGTAATTATTATTTTATAAGACAACAGTAACACGTGTACAGTAGTGCATTCATCATCGCCGCGATGGCCTTCTTCTTCAGCTGGAGCAGGAGCGGGGAGAGGAAGATAGGGACAAAGGAGGACGGGGCGGGACGGCAGAGTTGCGGGCGAGTCTCCGACACCGGTGGCCAACGTCGACTCGGTGTTAATCGAAAACACTCGTCTGTACTTTTCTCTTAACTCTCTTTGTTTGTCTCGGGACCAGATTGACAGTGGACACGCTGAGCTTGCTACTGTACAGTACCGGCGCTGGACATACTGTAATTTAAATTTAGGGTATGGGTCGGCGCGCTGGAGATGGCGAGATGCGAGGGATGCGAGGCGGGTTCTCCCTGGTTGTAAATAAAGTTTTTTATCATACGCGATATGCACCGTGATTTTAATACGTATTTTAATGTGTACCTTATCATACCCTTGTAAACATACCTGCTGTCTACAGCAGCCTACATAGGCCACTGATTGTCTTCCACAGTGGAATCTGGTGCGCGTAACTGGCGGCGCTGCTGGGAGATATAAACTTTAGATAATCAAATTAAATTTACGCCGGTGTGCATGTGAGGCAGGCGAAGGCTCCCATGCCTCACATGAGCCAAACATCTGGTGATGTTGATTGTCGTGGGGAAGTCGTATTGGACAATTAAATACTGTAAGCCCTATCTCCACAAGCCCTATCTCAACAAGCCCTATCTCAACAATCCCTCGTTGAATCCCTTGGCGAAATCCAAGTGTGCCCGTGCCCGCCTTGTTGGATCGCATGCCTGCCATCTCGAGATCATCATCAACCTCTTCTGTGGCCTCGTGAATGGCCACCGCCCTCTTTGCGCCTGATTCTGTCTTTACGGTAAGTCGTGCACCAAAACGGACAAACGACACCGCACATAACTTATGTATACCATACGGCCGGCCCGTTCGCGTACCTGCCTCCCCCATCTTCCGCAAGCTAAACGCATTCCACCCCTTGCCTACCGAAAAAAATCAACTCGTTTCACAGCAAGAGCGACCGCAAACGCCATCTGCCCCCCAACACGTTTCGAAAATATACTCCTTCACATTGCATCTTCTCCTTTGTCGCCAACTCGTCATCCTGAACAATGGTGCTGGACCATCTCGCAGACAACTTGTACATCGTCCTGTTTGCGTATATCGCGGCCTTCCTGCCGTGGACAGCCTTGACCGCCTGCGACTTTTTCTCGCCGGCGTGGCGCAAGGCACACGACGTACGCAACTCAGGATACATCAACCTGGCCCTTACCGGTGTCCCAGCTCTTTACATCTTATTTTACATAGCGATTCAATTTGAGAACGATACCAAGGAAATGTTCACGGCGATTGTCGCATTGCTATTTGCGCTGCTGCATTTCTTGCGGACAGCGTGGGGCTTGTGGCAGCTTCATTTGTTTGTGGCGTGGGCCTCCAAGAGTATTAAAGCTTTGCGCGCGCTGGGGATTGAGTATGAGTTGAAAGATAAAAAGCTTCTGGGTGCCGAAGAGAAGAAAGATAAGTGTAGGCGAGGAAAGGGAAAGAATGAAGGCCAGGACGAAACGAAGGTCCTGTCTCCGGATGAGATGGCGGATAAATTGTTACTCAGCGACGAACTCATCGAGAATCGCCTTTTTCATGGAAAAGCCCGTTGTTACCTGCGGTTCGGGGACATGGATATGATGACGGACTCATCGTGTGGCAACATTTTTCTCCAGCGCATAATGATACTGGCGCGTATACTGTCCATACCAATCCGATACGTGTATCTTACAGTGTTGCAGCGGTGCTTTGAGGGAGAGAGTGTGCCGAAAGTGAGGCAGGTGCCTCTCGAAACGGAGGAGGTTTGGCTGCGGTGGTCTGTAGCGTTTGCTGCTCAAGGGCTGGGAGGGTGGATGAAGGAGTTTCGAGTTACGGCAAAAGCGGACGAAGATTTGTCGGGTTTGAACAATATGCAGCAGTACAAGAATCGACGGGACTACGTGGTGGGCCGAGTGCTGACCACGGCTGGATTACAGCTGTGGCTGGGACGTTGCGTACGGCTAGGTGACGACTCAGTTGTGTCAAAGACAGAACTATTGCGAAGAGTGTCCGAGTCAGGCTGCGGTTTGCCGTTTGATGCAAAACAGGTGAATGTGATGGAGTCACCTGAATAGGGGTACAGGTCGTACGCTCTGAAACTATCGGGGATCATGCAGGACATGCCGGTTTCGTTTGGGAAAGAAATCGAGGGGTTTGATATCGAGAGAGTAGAGTGGCTGGCGATTTTGCTGAACATGGGGTGTGAAGTTAGTTCAAAGAAGGAGGCCCAAACCCAGAACACCAAGGTGGAGGAAAGAGAGCCCGAGCGGTTGCCGCACAATGATTTTGCAATGGAGAATCTGCGGGAGCAGCTGGGGATCGAGGAGAAGTTCCCGGGGGAAATTGTGGAGGAGAGAAGCATTTCAGGGATCGGGGAGAAGTTGACTGGGGAAATTGTGAAGGAGAGAAGCATTGCCAGTCTGAGTGCGTTCCCGCTGCCGGAATCCTGCTTTCATTTGGTGTCGAGTGAGAACCGAATGGTGACGAAGATCGGGGAACTGATTGATTGCTGGCTGGCGCTGATGGCCGGGGGTCAGGTACGATTTATGGTTGAGAGAGATAAACGTTGGTAGGGACGCTGTATTGGACCAAAGACGACAGAGACTGCGGAATGTTTGATCGGTGACGAGGTATGCACGGATGATAGTGAATCGAAAAGTAATGGTGTATTTGCAACACATGTGCGGTTAGAAGAAGGAGGCTTGCATACCAGTTTTGTGTGTTTAGTTTCACTACGATCGAAGTGACAAGGATGGAGGATGAGATTGGAGTGGAAGAGGAGCAACGGATGTCGAGGGAGGCGGGAGAAGTGGATATCAAGCAAGGAGAGAGCTGTGTGACTCTTATTGGAAGGCGGGGAAGAGACACAAGACCAGACGGGCAGGATCAAGACAGTTGAGTTGACAATAACGGCGATGTGCGCCCCGCAACAGACTAAGCTTGATGTTCGACTCGAGTACACAAGCGAGCATGTGCATGAAGTGAGTGTACGGTTACGCCGAGAGGCAAATGGTGCAGAGGGGATGTTCGAGTGGGAGTGGTGGCGAGACGCGGCCATGGGGCGCATGGAGGGCCTAACGCGATGGCAAGTGCATCACGAAATGGAAGCAGTGGAATTCCGTAGGTCGAGACTCGCCATAGACTCGGGTTTGCGGATTCTGGATTCAGCGATAAGGGAGAGTGGGCATGAGTTCGTAACGTGGGCGGGATGGGAACCGTTCCGAACGAAGCATTGCAAACTTGAAGTTGAGAGTGAGAAGCTGCTGCTGGAGTTTGCCGTGACAAGGCAGCCTGGGTCCCTTGTTTCGAAAAACAAAAACGGGACTTACAGTGTCGACCGTATGGTGGGAAGGAGATGCTCTGTCGGGTATGCAGAAGCAAGGCGTGAGTCGATCCGTGATGGGTGTCTCATTGTGAAAGAAGCACTGCTTGAAGGCACGAGTGTTGTGGAAAGTGGCACGGCGATGTCGAAGCAGACTGAAGACACCAAGGACTTGATTCGTAAGGCGGATGATCTGATTGGCGGAGGACATGAAAACTTCGATAGGGCCATTTTTCTGCTCAAGGTAGCGGCGCTGGAGAGGAATGACTTTGGCGCTCTGTGCAGATGCGTGAGAATTCTGTCGGATTCGGGGTCGACAAGGATGTATGCGGCGAGGACATCGAACTCGAAACAAGCGGCGCAAATGATCAAAGCGTTCTTTCATGCCAAGTTGCATACAAGCTTGACATCTACGCCAACAAGCGGTGACGATGGGTTTGAGAAGCTGTTTGATTTGTTTGAAAAGCTAGTGGTGGAGCAGAGTTTTGATGGAGTGATCGTGGATTTGTTCGTAGAAGCGCTCGATGTTGCGATTTGCTTAGACGCAGTCGGAAGCGTTCGAAAATGTCATGCATGGATACGAAAAGCGATTGTGTGTTCCCGGAAATGGAATCAGTTGGACACGCTTGCCAATTTTTCGGACTTGCCCGTTGGAAATGGCGGGGACGTGAAGTCGAGGAAAGGAAAAGGAGATGATGTTGGAAAGGAGGCCTTTTTCTCTGAAGGAGAGGTGACCGAGTGTGACATTATGACGTATGATCTTGTTGGCAAGGCTTTATTGGAACGCATGATAAGCGAATACGCGACGTTACTTTCAAGAGAACGAGTTTGGATTGTGCTGGGTACTGCCAGACAGGGGGCTCCTCAGTTTACTAGTGCGAGAAAGAGACAATATGCGGGAAGTCAGGATGTGAAATCAAGCGCAGACGCCATGATTAACCTTGGAGGTCTTTTCGCGCGAGGGGCACGAGGGGTGGGTTGTGACGCTAGACAAGCGAAACTTCTGTATGAAACTGCGATCGAAGAGCACAAAGTCAGTGCAGCGATGTCTAACCTCGGTGTTTTGCTCGTAGAAGGTGACGACGTCGATGCGATGGTGTTCCTCGGTAAATTGCTCGAAGAAGGTGGCGAAGGAGTAGAGCGTGACGCAGTGCGATCTGTGGAACTGTATGAGCGCGCTATCGAGAAGGGTGAGGACGTCGAGGCGATGGTGTACCTAGGTAATTTGCTGAGACAAGGAGCCGAAGGAGTAGAGCGTGACGCAGTGCAATCTGTGGAGCTGTATGAGCGCGCTATCGAGAAGGGTGAGGACGTCGATGCGATGAATAACCTCGGTGTTTTGCTGGAACAAGGAGCCGAAGGAGTAGAGCGTGACGCGGTGCGATCTGTGGAGCTGTATGAGCGCGCTATCGAGAATGGTGAGGACGTCGATGCGATGGTGTACCTAGGTAATTTGCTGAGACAAGGTCCCGAAGGAGTAGAGCGTGACGCAGTACGAGCTTTGGCATTGTATGATCGTGCAGTGGCGAAAGGATATTCCGGTAATGCGACTTGCAATCTTGCGATGATGTTGAGGGACGGAGCGGAAGGGGTAGAGCGCAATGCGGTACGTGCGGTGGAGCTGTTTGAGATGGACATCAAGGAACGGAAGCAGAGCAAGTCAATGGTGTGTCTTGGAGACATGATGCGGGACGGGTTGGACGGGGTGGCCCGCGACACGGATCGAGCGATACTGTTGTACGAGATGGCGGTTGAGGAAGACAAGAACGCGGAGGCGGTAGCCAAGCTTGCGGCGTTGCGGCGGGACAGATCAGACGGCAGTGCGCGGGACGAGGGGTGAGTGAGAGAACAGAGGAAGGGGACGTCGGGATGGAGGGCGTGGGGCAGTGGGAGGGGGGGAGGTGCCACATAGATAAGCGGCGTAATGTGACATATTTTTAGTGTAAATGTTTTCGGTTAAGACAACGGTAACACGTGTACAGTAGCGCATTCGTCATCGCCGCGATGGCCTTCTCCTTCAGCCGAAGAGGAAGAACAGGGAAAAAGGAGGACGGAGCGGGACGGCAGAGTTGCGGGCGAGTCTCCGACACTGGTGGCCAACGTCGACTCTCGGTGTTAATCGAAAACACTCGTCTGTACGCTAACGGTACTCGGTTTCCATGAAAAGCAGAGTCGCCGACTTCCATTACCCGAATCCATCGGTCGCCCAGTTTAGCCCCATCACTCAGTCGGCCTCCGACAGCTCCGTCTGCATGGCTCCGTGGCTCACCGCCTGCCGCATCGCTTTCGCCGTCTCGCTGCCGACTCAGCGCGCGCGTCACGTGCTGCGACGGACATGCCGCGCGCTGCCGCGGTGGCGCGTGGCGCGATTCTCATCAAGTTGAAATTTTAATGACGGGAAATTCGAAAACAACTCAGAATTCGGACGTCCGTCTTGTTTGGTTGTTCCGGTTGTTCTTGTCATCACGCACCCGCACACTGTAAGGAGACAGTTAGCCGAAAGGACAGGCTGTGCAGACACACGAGCCCCCACACGGGAGTTTCCCCTTTTTAGGAGACGGGGACGGAGAAGCCAAGTAAAAACGGGTCATGCGACTTTCCACTACTTGTGTACAGTTCTCCGTATTTTTTGCCTGACTCTCCCCTAAGTCCGTGAGGAGCCAAAATCTTGTGTGTGAATTTTGCCAGGCCGCGTTGATTAAATTTGGCTGGGAGCTTGACGGCATACGCCGAAAAGGTAGCGTGAGGCAAGGAAGGTTCTGTTGCATTCCCAGACCTTTCCTTGGCTGACGCATCGCCCACAACACGTCCGGTCTTTCCACGCCTCGCAATCGAAGCAGGAGATTGCGGAGGAGGTATCGGTGGGAAGCGCTACTGTTGTAATGTGAAGATACAGCTGGCGGGAGATCGGGAATAGCTGTGGGCACTACCATCGCGTGGCACGCGTGTTTCCAGAACCGAGCTTTATCGCGTCGCAAAATATGTCAGGTTCTCCCCCAGACAAAGCACGATCCGCTCCGGGTCGTGGTGCGTTGCGTCGGAGTGGAACGGCAGGGCGCGCGACCGCGACGGACGCCGCAGCGCAACCAGCACCACCGCGAGCCCGGTCGACCTGCCGGTCCGCACGGCCTGCAGCGCGGGGAGAACCACGGGGCAGAGATGATGCAATGTGTGACTTGAAGGACATTCTCAAACTCACATTGGTTTGATAGAACCAAAGATACAGCTGGCGGAGGCTGGCGGAGGCGTGGAGAACCGACTCGCCTCCTTCTTCCTTCTCTCCCCGACAGCAGGGGAAGTTGTCGGAAGCACGCTCCCAGACCAGTATCGCTGGGAAGGGAAAGTTTTCCTCAGTGCGTTTGCGTCGATTAAATGACTAGGGGGGCGCAAGAGAACGAGCAGGAGTGGTTGAAGTGGGCGAGAGACTTTGGCGATCTCGAAATACCACCCCTCTGTCTGGGGTCCCCCCTCCGTGCCGCCAAAATCAATTTTCACACTACTCTTACAAGGGTACTGTAGCATTTAAAATTTTGTTGCGACCTCACGGACTGGATTACCCGTAGGGGATTGGGGGATTAGTACTACTCTACCGCAGGGACTACTCTACCGTAGGTACTACACTGTAGCTAGCTACGCCGGTCTACCCTTCTGCAGGGTACTGCACCGTGGTGTACTACACCTACCCTGTTCCGCACCCTCGCCATGTCGGACAACACCCTCGCCATGTCGGCAAAAAAAATTTCCGGAGACTGGTAAAGTACTTTACGCCCTCATTACTCAGCCGGCTCCTGCCCTCTCCAGCAATTGCAAACTCTGCCTCTCACTCGCCAGAGCACGAACACTGTTGACACCAATTCGCCTTTTCCGGAACCACCTTACTGTACTTCATAGAGAAACCAAAACGGGCTTCTGCTTTTCCATTTTTCTTCTCTATACTTCTCATTTAACGACCCCCCTTCCCGCGTGCGCCCTTTCACACCTCTGGTGACGCGCCCCAAAGTCAACTATGACCTTCTAGTTGTTTGGCCCAAAAAAGATACCTCTCCATAGTTTGGCCGCAACACTTTTTTTACTGACGCACTGCCGATTGCACTATTGCTACACCTCGCAAATGGAAGCAGTACAGTAGCGCAATCACGCGCGCCACTGCAGCGGTATGCAACGGGGCCATGTTCTTTCTCTGCAGGTACACGCAAAGCATTCGCAAATGGAGCGGGAGAGCCCGCAAGTTGTCGTGCACTTTCTACCGTCGCGCCCCCAGCTCTGACAGAAAGGCCTGGCTGGCCTGTACCATAACAAAAAAATACTGTCGGCGGGGACGTCCCTCAATGTCGCAGCGAACCCGTCAAACAGGGGCGTTGCCGCCCGTCCTCGCTGTCTCCGGCATGGCTTCATTTTCCCCTGTTGTGCAGCGTGGTGAAACATGCCGACGTATGTAACCGTTACACATTGCGACGCACGGTACCCGCCCTTCACTAAACGGCGCACCCGGCCTGCGCACACGTATGGCGGCAGTCAGACCCGCGGAGTCAGACAGGCGTGCCGTAAATGTACTCGCCTCGGCGAGTGCGTGCGCGGCATCTTCCAGTGACCAGCGCGCCCGTTGCGAAATAGCGCGACGTGCTTCTGTCGCGGGTTTGTGCGATGAGGTGCGCGCGGACTACTTTGCTGGGTGTGTGTGTGGGCTCGCCTTCGTTCCATGGGGCTGGCCTTGATGCTTCGAGGTGGGTGCACTGCTCTGGGGCTGCACTGCGGTCGCAAGTGCGCCGGGTAGTATGGCGCAAGGCATCGGGACGTAAATCTCCGCCTCGCCAGCGACAAAGTCTTCGCTACTGTCGTCATCCGACACCGTCCCCAGCCCCGACGCTGGGTTGGGGTCCGGCACCGGGTCCGGCAACGGCCCCGGCACGCAAGGCACTGGCACGGGGTCCGATATGGCAGCTTTCTCTTTCGTTCCATGGTGCTTGCGGCGATGCATTCCATGATGCTTCGAGGCGGGTGCGCGGCTCTGGGGCTGCATTGCAGTCGCACGTGCGCCGCGTGGGATGCCGCGAAACTTCGGCCCCGAGGGGCTTACTCTCATTTGCATCATTGGGACAGAACGTCTGTCGGATGCGCTCGCAACCATTCCATAGTACTTGTCGTGATCCTTTCCGTCATGCTTCGAAGAGGGTGTGCTGGTCCGGGGCTGCATTGCGGTCGGACGTGCGCCACGTGGGACGGCGCACGGATGCTCTCCGTGATGCTTTCCGTGATGCTTCGAGGCGGGTGCGCTGCTCCGAGGCTGCGTTGCAGGCGCAAGTGCGCCGGATGGTTCGGCCGATGGTTCGGCCGATGGTTCGGCGCCAGGCCCCGGCTCCGAGAGAGGTATGTTGTCGTGCTGCGTTGCGGCCGAAAGTGAGCCGGACGGGCTCGCTTGCGTTCCATGGTGCTTGCCCTGATCCTTTCCGTGATGCTTCGAGGCGGGTGCGCTGCTCTGGGGCTGCATTGCCGTCGCACGTGCGCCAGATGGTACGCCGTTAAAGATATAACCATATGGTTCCGCCAATAGTTCGGTGTAAGGCGGAACTATGATGCCGAGCTTAGGTACTGGGTACGAACGTGAGCTGGATGGACTCGCCTTCGTTCCATGGGGCTTGCCGTGATCCCTTTCGTGATCCTTCGAGGGGGGTGCGCTCAGGTCATCCATGACAGAGGGCGGTAGAGTTGCGTAGTACTACGTCGTGAAGAGATAAAGCGGTCTCGCGAGAGCGGGCGGTTGCCTGAAGTCGATCGGTATGCTCACAGGGACTGAATAATATTATGCGTCTCTTGTTCGGAAGGCTTGGCTCAGCTGATGTTTGAACTGAGGCCCCCGAAGAACGGCGGTGGGGCAGAGACGTTCGGTGGCAGTACATTGGGAGAAAAGGATTACAACAATACGAAAGGAACAGTAACGTTGTCTGTAAAACAACGCGCTGTCGGGAAACTCGCTGGACGTGAAGTAAACCCGAGATTAATTCCACCACGAGTTTTGTGGACTGACCTCCAGCAAGGTACCTGCCCGCAACAAACGCAAATCTGGTGACCAGACTCTGGTCCATCGTTGCGCCGCCAGACGGATCACGTGCACCTTCAATCATGAGTTGTACAGTACAGTTGTACAGATATACAAGTGTACAACAGCAATGCAAGCTGATCATGAAGTTTGATCTCCTGTTCAATTTACTGTAGATGATAATTCTAAGCCATCCTTCTGACTTGCTCTTGCGTGTTAGATTGAGAAGTCGAATGCACTCCTCTTCAAGGTATTGCCGTGCTTTCTCAGCAAATATCTTAGCATACATCCACATCCCTATCCTTTGTTCGTGCATGAACCTTTAGCAGTGTACTTGAGCTGAACTCCCTCGCGTCGCTTTGTAGAGGCCGGGGCCCAAGCACAGCACTATCTTAGCATCGGATAAAAGCAAATCCAAGGCACTTTGCCTACTTGCTGTAACCCTCAACTCCCCACCTACATACTGCACTCTGCCTGCCCCTCTAACTAAATACACCTGGGCGAAAACTCGATGAAGCGAATATTGCAGTTTGCCACAAGGATAGAATGGTTATCAGTCGAAAGGGCGATGTATTTCGTCTTCTTGACAGGCTGAGGGGGGCCGTTTGGAGAGGACCGCTTTTTAGAAGTTTCTACTTGTCTATCTTTCGCGGTTGCTTCGGCGGCATCTGTGGCAGATCCTGTCGCGCTTTGATCCGTTGATGGATTCTGGGTCGATGGCGTCCATGACGCAAACTGGTACGATCCGTACAGTATGAGACTCGATTGTGCTGAGGAAAAAGCGGAAAAGTTACTTCGTTTTCCTTCAAGACAGGTCGAACCGGCATTCAATGCCGGATCGTTGCTGTGATCACTGATCACAGCAATTCTGGCGCAAAGGTGGTTCCGGAAAAGGCGAATTGGTGTCAACAGTGTTAGTCCTCTGGCGAGTGAGAGGCAGAGTTTGCAAGTGCTGGAGAGGGCAGGAGCCTGCTGAGTAATGAGGGCGTACCAGTGTCCGACATGGCGAGGGTGCGGAACAGGGTAGGTATACCATACATCGGCCTAGCTATTCAGCCGAAGAACACGGACTAGATCTCCGCCTGTGTGTACCGCTGTTCCCAGTGTCTATTGGACCCATCGGCCTTGCTAGTCAGCCGAAAAACACAGAGAACAACCGGAACAACCAACCAACACGGACGTCCAACCTCTTGAATTCTTTTCGATTAGCCATGGAGAGCTCAAAGGAACGTGACTGCATCAACACGGTTACAGACAACTCTGCTCAGATACCTTCCTACAGTAGTTGTGCAAAGGAGCAAAGGGGCAATCCGCACTCATAGGAATCAGGCGAGTTAAGAAAGGCCCTTAAGAAAGGCCCTGAGGGCCTTGTATGGACGACTTTCTCCACGTAGGCTCCAACAGCATCACTTTCTGTCGTACCTGCCTCCTTTCGCTGCACCAATCTCTACATGTCGAAAGATACTGAAAGGGTACGACCTTCAACTATGACATCGTTCGAGGTTGTTCTCATCCACGTGTACACGTCCACACGCGTGCGTGTCATCGACACGTGCCCAGTCGGCACAGCATTACAGCATATCTCACCATCTCGCCAACTGTTTGTTCCTTTCGCATTGTTGTAAACCCTTACTCGCCATGCAACCTGCCACTCAACTCTTCTTTACCCCAGTGCTGTTCTTCGGGCGCCTCTCAGTTTCAACACAACCTGAGCCAAATCATTCCCAACAAGAGACGCATACTATTTTTCAGTCCTTGTGAGCATACCGATTGACTTCCAGGCCACCGCCCGCTCTCATCAACAGCTTTATCTCTTCACGACTTCGTATTACACAACTCTACCGCCCTCTGTCATGGCTGACCTGAGCGCAACCCCCTCGAAGGATCACGGAAAAGATTACGGCAAGCACCGTGGAACGAAGTCGAGCTCATCCGGCTCACTTTCGGCCCCAACGAAGCACGAGAACATACCCCTCTCGGAGCAGAGGTTTGTCCGCGGAACCAGCACAGGGGGCGTACCATCTGGCCCACGTGCGGCCGCAGTGCGGCCCCAGAGCAGCGCACTCGCCTCGAAGGATCACGGAAAGGATCACGGCAAGCACCATGGAACGGAGGCGAGCCCATCCGGCTCCCTTTTCGCCAACACAGGTGCGGAACCACCCGGCAAACTTGCGACCGCAATAAAGCCCCAGAGCAGCGCACCCGCCCCGAAGAATGACGAAAAGCCTCACGGCAAGCCCGATGGAACGAAGGCGAGCCCACGCACACACCTTCTGGTAAAAGCTAAACTACCTTCGCCTTGAATGGACATCCAGGTCAGCCAGTGACCTCGCTCTGTCCCCTCTTAGACTGGCTACCGAAGGAAATGGAATAATCAAGCGAGCATTTTCTAATTCCACCTTACAATTATTAGTGAGCGCTATCCGCCAATTTCATGCAACTACTATTTAGTTAGAGGGGCAGGCTGAGTGCAATATGAAGGCGGCGAGTTGAGGGTTACAGCAAGTAGGCAAAGTGCCTTAGATTTGCTTTTATCCGATGCTAAGGTAGTGCTGTGCTTAGGCCCTGGCCTCTACAAAGCGAAGCGAGGGAGTTCAGCTTAAGTACACTGCTAAAGGTTCATGCACGAACAAAAGACAAGGGATGTGGCTGTATGCTACGTTATTTGCAGTGAAAGCACGGCAATACCTTGAAGAGGAGTGCATTCGACTTCTCGATCTGACACGCAAGAGCAAGTCAGAAGGCTGACTTAAAATGCTTCCGCTATGTAATTATTGCATTATCATCTACTGTAAATTGAACAGGAGATCAAACTTCATGATCAGCTTGCATTGCTGTTGTACACTTGTGTAGCTGTACATCTGTACAACTCATGATTGATAACTGCCTTGAGCCGACTGCAACAGCACCCTTCTGCCCGACTCCGCATTTGCGCCTATCCCCTCTCACTCACTCTCCTCCCCGTCCTTCTCGTCCCCGCCGCCCTGCTCTTCCCCACTGCCCTCACCTTCCCCGCCGCCGTTCTCTTCCCCACTACCCTCACCTTCCCCGCCCGCCCTTTCTGCCTCCGCCGCTGCGCCGTGCCCGCCCCCGCCTCGCATGCTCTGCCCACGCGCCCACGGCATACCCCAGCCTCCCGAGCGCGAAGCGCACCGTGCGTAACGCCTCCTCCACGTCCACCGTCACCCCGATGTTCTTCATCTCCAAGCACGGGTTGAGCACCTGCCTGGTCTTCTGCCCGCACCCCTTGTCGTAGTCCTTCTCGCCATGGTCTGCCCGCCGTCGCGCCAGCATGTCAGCAACAGTCACTCGTTAGACACACATCGCTTGCTCTAAAAAACACCGCCCGAATCGTACACTCGCAACTCCACTTACCCGCGTGCATCAGGCTCTCCAGCTCGTAGTACCAGATCTTGCACGACTCCGCCAGCAGGCTGAACGAGTAGTCATTGTATCCCACCGGCATGATCTCGATCAACGCGCTGCCAATAAAATCAAACAAACACACACACGCACACACACACACACACACGCACACACACACACACGCACACACACACACACACACAAACAAAGGAAACAACGCGTCAGTCACCCTGCCTGCACTTACCGCACCACAACCACCGCAACCCACTTTGCGCACCGCCAACATCTTACCTATGCCTAGGCATCCACATCTGCCCCATGCTCTGGCTCCCATGCGGCGTGATAAGCACCCCGGCCCTCGCGAAAATCCTCACAAAGTCCTCGGCCGTATTCAGCTTATCCGTCGACACCACCTCCACCTCCACCCCGTCCCCCTCAAACCTCTCCCTGAGCGCCGTCTCCAGCTCGCCAATATTCTCGAGCGGTCTCGTCAAGTGCCTCTGCAGCACCACGATCCGCTTGGGCGGCTGCGGGAACGCCGCCTGCCCGACCCGCGCAATCTCGGGCTCCTGCACCCCGTACAGCTTGTACGCCTCCTGCCGCAGGTGCCGGCACACGCGCTCGTGCGCCCCGTTCGCCAGCTTCGCCCCGGCCGTGAACCGCGGCGTGCACACGAGGTCCGTCTCCTTGTCGTCGCGCATCTCCCTGTGGAACACCAGCCGTTCCTCCGCGCGCAGCTCCGGGAACGCCTCCAGCAGCGGCGCGGCGGTGCGGTCCTCCGCCGACCCCGCGTGCCGCTCCGCCTCCGTCAGGTTCGGGTACAGCTGCCCCGCGTCCAGTCTCAGGATCAGCGCGTACATCAGCCGGTTCACGTCGCGCGAGGTCTGCTCTACAAAGTCCGCTGAGCCCTGCGGCAGGTACACGTGCCGGGCGCCCTCGGAGAAGAGGGGCGCCGGTAAGCGCGCGCCGCGCGACGCGGCCGGCTCGTCCGGCGCCGCGCGCACGTCCACGCTCTGCTGCCACAGCGCCACGTCTAGCAGCCAGATGATGTCCATGACGAGGTGGTAGTTGTGGTTGCTGTTGACCATGTCCAGGTCGACGAGCCAGAGCGAGTCGAGCC